CTGAGGTTTAGCTACATAATTGGCTAAATGATTGTTTTGTTCCCATTACAGTGGAGATGTAACCTTTGATTTATGTTGCCTTATTTAAATTTCTCAGAATGAACTTTCAGTGTCTCCACTCACTGGTGAAGTTCCTACTGATGTGTTTCTAGTTTAATTAAAAGTGTTGGTGTATTTTTTATTTTTTTCCTGGTACAATTACATTTATAGATGTTTAAAAAAACAAAAAACTTGTCAGTTTATTTTCCTGTGATCTATGTCGTAACAATATTTTTACAACTTAAAGAGATGACCTAAACTGTTACATAAGTAAGACAATAAACAGATTTATGAAACGGGCTCTCATCAACATAACCTTTGAACATTATTTGAATCTGGTATCAACAAATCTGTTCATTAAATTAGCTTGTTAGATTTTTACTCTGTGAAGACTTTTTTTTTTCTTTTTACATGTTGTTGAATTAGTTGATCTGAAATAAATATGTATTTTTTCCCCTAGTGTTAAAACTAGGGATAAAGGTAGTGTTAATTTCTTGCCGGTACTATACAAAAATAACAACAACAAAAAAACAAACAAATGCATTTTAAAAGTAAAAATGTTTTCAGATGTAATCCAGCATATTCTAGATATAACAGCCAAGTCAAATTTTTGTACTTTTGATGTAAAGCCTTTGATTTCTCATTTTTGATTGTTTAAGAAGAAGAAAAAATATCAAAGTATGTATTTAGGGTTGACTGATATTTAATGATTAATAAAAAAAAATAAATACACACACAGAGTTATTCTTTATGTTCAGAATTATTTTCATAATTCCAACATTTTCCTCTTTCCCATCCATTTAAAAATGTTAACAATAAATGCCCCCTCACAATTAATTTACACCTTTTATATAAACTTTTATGGCGTTTCATAAAATTTCATAAAATCTCATGAACAGTTTCACCCATGGCATCCACTTAAATTTATGAAGCATCTTATAGGGGCTTGATAGGATAAGCCTGCCTGATGATGCAATGAAAATTCAGAACTTTACTTAAAAACGATGTAAACTAAAATATTAAAGGAAACTGAGAAAAAAATATTTATGATTACACAAGGAGCCATTTACATCCTAATTGGAAAAAATAGAACTATTTTTGATAGATATAAAAGAAAACTAGTCGAGGAAGTTTGTCCAAGTTGAGACACTTATTGAATCAGCATGAGTGAGGAACTGGACACCCTTCTCACTGCCTTCTCCATTTGGTAACTGTGCGCTGAAGTTTGTGGCACAAAAGTACGTGTTTATTGGAGACAGCAACTCTTCTAGGTACTGTGTAAGGCAGAGGTGGGAGATGTGGAGTCAACAAGTCATCTTCATGTCATGTATTTTCTCTGGCCAGCCTCTGAACCAGATGAGTCCAATCTTTGCAGTGATTTAAATTGCACAGATTTCATTGACTTGTTTCGGTGGCTGGGCAGAACAAATACATGACATGGACATGACTTGTTGACTCCAACTCTGGTGGATGGGCCCTAAATCTTCATCACCAGATCTTTTTTCACTTCTGGTTCAGATAAAATAAAAACCAAATAAATACAATTAAAGGCGACAAGGTTAAAAAAGTTATAATGTCTTTTATAAATATTTCCTTGATTTAACAAGTTCTAATATGTTCTACTTTGACAGATTGACAAGAGGCTGAATGAGAGCACTGCTTCTCCTGCTGAGGTACGGTCTTGTGCTACAACTCACTTTGTTTTTGGAGTAACTAGTTCTGAAGTTTTAGTATTTGAGAAAAATATTTTTTGTAAATACAGAATAAAAAGAGACCAATCAGAAGAGTGAAAAGTCCATCTGCACCAAGAGCATGGCTGTCCAGGTCTTACAAACCTAAGTTTGGAGGACATGTCTACAGACCTCGGTCAGTGTCAAGACGTGGTTATTAATATAAATGTTATCTTAAGGAATACACCTCAACTTGATGTGAGCCTGACTTGTTCCTTTTCAATAATGCAGTTTTATGGGAGACAGCCATTCCTTCCACAAAGCTGGCTTCAGCAGTCAGGGCCAGCGCTACCTGAAGCCCCGGGCCTATATCCATCGCAAGGATTATCCTTCACCTAAATCTCGGCAGCTCATGCTGAAAGAGAAGGAGAAGCAGAGGGAGAAAGCAAGGCTGAAAGAGGAGAGTGAAAAGGAGCGTCACGACCAGAGAGACAGCACTGATGGACGTTCCCCTACAAAACAAAGCAATTGTAAGTTTATGTTAGCAGCAGAAAAAAGTAAATTAACCTTGCGTAGCATCCCTGGTTCTCCAAGGCCTTAAATCCCTCTGTCAAATAAAAAAAAAATTGGGAGGAACTGGTTGGTAGTTGATTAGAATGCTGGTGGTGATAAATGTATAAAAATGAATACCATGGGCGGTGGTGGTCTAGCTATTAGAGGACCCTGCTGATCTTTTCATGTTCACTGGCCTCACTGGGTCTTACCTGCTGTTCATGCACCATGAGGCTGCAATTGGTGTTTGAGCTGCTTCTGTCTCAGGTTTTTACAATTCAAAGTGAGCAAGCAAGTGCTTTAAATCCTTTGCAAGAAAAGCAACGCCTTCAGGCATCATGATGTTGCTGGATTTGTTGCTGGTGAGTTGTTGGACTCATTGCCACACCTGCTATGTTTTGTCACTCAACTGATAGTTCTCTTTAAGTTTAAATGAAACTTTATAATCTATGGCTTCTTTTATTAGTTTTTGTACAACCAAACATTTCTCCACTTCTGCTATTATAGTTTTATTTTGAGAATGAAATCAAGAGAAATATCTCATATACATGGAAAATTCCATAACATACCCTACAGTATGTTGTAGGACAACATTTAGAGCAGTCTTTTCCCTTATTTTGTGCTTAGGTTCACCATAAGATCATTCAAACTGTCACTATGGAGTCTGAAATAGATCTGAACATCTGATTGGTCAATCAACACAAAAACTCAAACCTAGATTGTTTCAACCCCGCCCCCTTGCTTTGAAGATTTTGTCCAACAGATCAAATAAACGACAATGCAGGATTTATGAAATAAAACAATACTCTAACATTTATATACATGTCAATGATATAATGACTACATATTTGTCTTTTTTTAAATTGAAAAATAGTTTTTGATTGTTACATCTTAAGATTCTTTGAAAGTTACTATCTATCTATCTATCTATCTATCTATCTATCTATCTATCTATCTATCTATCTATCTATC